TGGTCAGCAGAATTGTGTTTCTGTGTGATACAAATGGAATGAGTCCTGTAGCTCAGTGGTTAGAGCACTCGCTTTGCAAGTGAGAGACCTGAGTTCAATTCCAGGCACAGGGCGAAACCTTGGGCAAGTTTCCTTACTCCACACGCCTAATAATAATCCCTCCAAAAAACCCAAAACAATAATTAAATTGGTCATTTTCAATCTACGACTGTTTGTGGGACATTGCTGTGCGCAATTGGCTGCCGCGTTCGCCCACAAATATACAGTCAATTCACTTTACAGTGTGTTCTGTGAAGCGCTTTGGGACGTCCTCCTGACGTGAAAAGCGCTATATCAAATGCAAGGATTATTATTATTATTATTAATGAATATCATTTAGAAGAGCAACAGGGACGGTCAGAAGGTATAAATAATGTTTTTTTCTGGAAACAGCTTATTAACAGCATATTAATAATAATCATTGTATTATATATAGTGCCTACAATCTTGAGAGGAAGTCTCAAAGTATTTCACTGGATTTATGTAATGTGTAGCAATTGTGTATTTTGTAGGCAAACACATGGCAGCCAATTTACGCACAGCAACATCCCAGCTATAAAATTAATAGACAACTTCATCTGGCCAGAACAGCATCAGAATCTCTCTTCCCCTCAGGGAGCTTTGTGATGCAGCTAAAGCTACTATCAAATGGATTACAATTTTAATGAAATAAACAAGTTTTACTTGCTTACAAACCTAGTGAGCTTTCCCTGCAGCATTAAGAATCAATTATTATGGATACAAGTTTTAGCTAGTGGTTAACACACACACCAAAAAAAGTGTGAGCTGGGTCAAGCAAATTAGTGAGGTTAATTCCGGTGGCTGCTATGATCATGACCTCTACGATGCTCCCTGTCTCCCCTTCGAAAAATAGTAACAATTTTCTGCAGAATTGGTCCATTTAGCCACAGCATTCAACTTCCTGCAACTTTTAAAATCACCACTTTCAAACTTCATTCAAATTCATTATTTTGTTTTCTTGCTTTATGAGTTGAAGTTGACTTAATTTAGCCCCACACAATTCTTCCAGATCATTATATCTCAAACAAATACATTTCTGTCAAATGAATCAACTTTAATGCAAACAATTTGCTTCTACAAGTAAGCTCACTGTAGTGTTTAAGGTTATTTTATACCACTATACATTATTAAGTTTATAATACATGACTACACAATATGTTTAAGTTTATAACATGACCATATATTAATCCAGCAGAGGGAGCCAGTTATGGAAGTAATATTGCCATTTGTTGGGTAAATATTTAGCAGGGAGGTAAGTGGCCAAGTGGGGTTAGAAAACATCTCCTGAAACAGAAGGAATAAATACAAAAACAATGGATTTTCTGAAAGAAATCGTTTCTCTTCAATTTTATGCATATTCCAATTTCACACATATTGACAATGAGGATTAACAAAAGCAGCAAAGAATAGTTTTAAACAAATATCTATTTGACTATGTGTGCGTGTGGTCTCTGTGGCTGCTATGATCATGACCTATATGATGCCTATGCTATCAGTATTTGATGCGCATTCATCTCCCGTTGTGATTCACTGGTCGATGTGGCTAAAAAGAGTTGAGGGCACATTGATGTGTTTCAAGGTACTTAAGAGGGTACCCAATGATAGGTTCAGCTTCAACAGAATCCAACACAATGCTTGTTTGCATCTAAGATGACAGAAACGTTCAGTGCAACTAATGCTAGATGGTTATAGCACAATTCTATTAGTGCTAGGGACAATAAAACCAGAAAAAAGTAACAGATGGCAATGTATGCACAGTAAAGGGCAATCCTGGGTCATTCCTAAGACCACAGAGTTGGATTGCTGAGTATAGGTGACGGAACAAACAAAGTGAAGGAAAGCAGCACTGCTGAAATATGCAAGGAATTTACTTCAAAGGCATCAGTAAGCTGTAAGGTGTGCGAACAAAACTCAACTTAGACAGATCAGTGCAGCTTGTCACATAACAAGATAAGAAATTCTTATTCCCCTTCCGAGAAAATTGAGAAGTTAAATGAGCTGATGGAAAATTATATAATTGAAGATAGATGATCCTGCTACCCCTTGGGTACCAACAATGGTTGTACTGAAAAGCCAGATGATGCCTTGTTATATGTGGACATGCATGCTGCAAGCAAAACAATCAAAACGTGGGCGAGATGACAGAGCTGAATGGATCAGATTCGTCTTTCAAGTCAGATCTGAAATAAAGTTGTTGTACTGCCACATTGGTATCAAGCAAAGCAAAAGGTTCAACTTTGGGAATTCATCAGCAGCCGAGGTATTTCAGATTGCTATCCAACAAGCCAACAGAAGGTATCCTGGGAGTCTTGAAAGCGTCAAGGGATATTTGGGTGTATGAATCCAGCCAAGTAGAAGTTGATGCATGATATTTATTTCATGCTCTACCCTAACCTCACTGCAATCACACACTATTGCAAAAAGCAACAGTGAAAAATTTGAAATTTCAATGCAGTTTTCTTTGCCTTGCAGCTTTAAAAGCCTCAGTCTCCAGCAGTGAGGTTTGTGTTATACATCAATACTGAGAAAACCACAGAACTCTTTCGAGAAAACACATCAAAACCATACCCTCTGACATACAAGGAGCTGGATAAGTGGTAATAACCGACCGCAGGTCACAAGATATGTGTCTCATTAAAAGACGGCTGTGCCTCAAGTGAGAGATATATAAATGATTCAAAGGTTAATAAAATTGTAGCTGAGATCAGTGAAAATAAGGAGATAAGTATAGACTCAAAGAAAATCTCTACGCTAATACACTAAATATGGAACATGGTAGAAGATTTTCTACATATTTTGAAGGATTATGTGGTGATGTAAATTATTTAGGAATTTAACTTACATATTTTTTGATAAAACATTTTTAACAGATTATAATTTGTAAACTAAGTTTCAGCACCCAACTCGCAATTTACATACCACTGACAATCCTCTATAATGAAACTGATTTAGTAGTTGTGTTAGAATTAAGATTATTGCTTATTATTCAGTTTATTCTGGAAATTCAAGTTAATCCACTGTACATTATCTATTTTGCTAATAATGTGAAGGTTTAATAACTGACAACAACTCAATTTGGCAGTTTTCATTGTTCCACATTACTGGTTAGAAATTCCATCTGGCGCTAGATTTATTCTATTTATGTAGTTTTTTAGAGCATTCAGAATTTGACAAATTCATAAATACAGCCTTAATTTTGAAGTCCATTTTCTTTAAATTCGTTTAAGAACTACAGAAAACCGACTTCAAAGTTAAGATTGAATTAAACAAATTGCCAAATTCAGAATTCTCTAAAATGCTACAATAAAGTAAATCCAACCCCAGACAGAATTTCTCCCCATTAATGTTTGCAGGAAAGAGGACTCTCGTGGTTATGATTATATTATGTAATTATATATACATCCAGCAGGTGGAATTAGCTGTGGAGGTAATATAGGCACATTGGATACATTTCTGCCAGAGAAGTTAATGAAATAATTTGAAATAGAATTAACAACAGCAGACTGTTATCTAAAAGGAGTAGTTTCAGAACCCAGGCCTAATACAAAACACAATATCATTTGGTTTATATCACTGGTGTCACTTAGCACACAGAACTGAGGTTGACAGCAAACTGATGACCTTGACGTTTGTCATTTAGGTTTTGTGTGTGCTGAGAGGCTTTTAGAAATGCCAATAGATCAGCGCACACATTTTGGATTTTTGGAGCAAGTAAATATCAGTGTGCACCCTATAACAAAGCACCGAAGCACCTTATAATGGGCTCTACTGTCATTTCTTTCATAAAGCGATGTTACAGAAATTAAGAATTGTGCAGTTGTGCTTTAACTGGATAGGTAATTCACAATATTGCAATGATTAAATAATTGCAATAACAATGAACCCTTATATTTTTCCCACGGTCTTATCAAAGTTTAAGGATTTTCTCAGATTTCAACACAGACAGAATACCCAATCCAGTAAATAGCAACAATCAGAGAAAAAAGTACATACTAACTGACACAAGATGGACACTTCCAGGAATGCAACATTACATCAAAGAGAGCAATCTTTTGGTTTCTCCGTTTTTAAAAAAATGATCTTCTCCTCTACTGGTATTAAAGGTATCAATTCATGAAGCATTACAATTCCAGAGCCACCATCCAGGGCCTCTCTCAAGTAATCATTTTTCATACAAGAGACACTGAGTATCGGCAACCTATCTGACTGTCAGGACATCACACTGAGCCCAACCATATCCTCACGTGCGCTAATTTCATACCCCCATCACACCAGTTCTAGTCAGGCTTCACAGGCTCCGAACGGATCGATTTCAAGATCCTTACACTCTTCAAATCCCTTCATGCCCTGGCACCTTCCTACCTCTCTGGCCTGCTGACTCCCAACCCACTATCCGTTGCCTCCTCTTGACTGGCTCTAGCCTCTTACTTGTCCTTCGTGCCCTCTGTGCCCACACTTTCAACCACTACGCCCTGAAACTCTGGAACTCTCCTCCTCAATCCCTCCGCCTTCCCCATCTTCAGGTCACGCCTGAAGACCTTCTTCTTCGACCGTGCCTACGGTCACCTCCCCACTCCCCCGGCTCTGCATCTTGCTCTGCCGCTGAAAGCACTCTGGGACCATACTCTGCTATATAAATGCTAGTTGTTGACTTCACCCAACATACCCTCACACACTCTTTACAGTAAGTGTCAATGAAGAGAATACATAAACAGATATCATCAGCAAGCATCTTTTCGTATACCTCAAGTAGCTGGAAGTTGAAGTCTTAAGTTACATCTGAAATTCAAATTCTATCACAATTAAGTAGAGAAAGGAGATAAAATACAGATGGGTTAAGGGTAAGAGGACAGTGGAATGGAAAGAAATCTAACCATACACTTCTGATTTACAAAGACAAATTTGTTTTACTCCAGGTTTTGGGGCTTAAATGAGCCTACCTTTTTCTTCGTCAATTTTGAAAACTCCAAGGCCAGATCCATCTCTTATGGAGTACCTAACTTCTCCATCTCTTCCTTTGTCATCATCATGGCTGTTATGGTCATTACTAGTGTACCAAGAGAAGCATCTTCTCTGACAGATCCATTAGCCACAAAGTAGGGAAAAACAGGAGCAAATAAGTTCTCATTTACATCCACCACTTCCACTTGAATGTAACACGTCGAGGACAGAGAAACCGGACGTCCTTTGTCCTTTGCACGGGCCGTCAAGTTATAAAATTGCTTCTTCTCAAAGTCCAAATTGTTCACAATACGAAGAATTCCACTTAATTTGTCCACATCAAAGTTCCCCTCTCCATTATCTATCATAGTGTAGCGTACTTGACCGCTTTGACCAAGGTCAGGATCATATGCCTCCAGCCACATTACAACTGTTCCTATTGGAAGATCTTCCCGCACCTTAACATGATAATTTGGTGGAAAAAACTGAGGTGGATTATCATTAACGTCCTCCAAAGTCACTTTCAACAGCACTGTGGAAAACAGTTGGGGCTCCTGTTCAGCTTGATCCCTGGCTTCAATTTTCAGTAGATAAACAGGGATTTGTTCTCGATCCAGCAAGCCTACAACCTTCACTGTACCTGTCACACTATCAATCGCAAACATATCTGTGTCTGTAAGAATTGAGTATCTGACCTCTCCATTGGCACCCAGATCTCGGTCTGTGGCCTCAAGCTGAATAATTTCACTCTCCACCTCTTTGTTTTCACTCACTTCTACTGAATATCTATCTTGGAAAAATTCCGGGTGGTTATCATTTGCATCCAATATGACAACATCTAAGAGACGCCAAGTAGATCTCTGAGGTATCCCAAGATCATATACAGTTATATTAAGGGTGTAATGATCAGTTGCTTCCCGATCAAGTTGAGCAAATACCTTTAGCCACCCTGTTTCCAGATCAACAATAAATTTGCTGTCACTATCTCCTCCTGAAATGACATATACTAATTTTCCATTGAAGCCACTATCAAGATCTGTTGCATTTATGAACAGTAAATTCATTCCTACTGGCTTGTCTTCCCGAACCTCTATAGCACTAGGAAAAGAGCTAACAAACACTGGGCCATGGCGATTAACCGAGTGAGTGTCAGAATACAGGTCTTCGGTGTCAACTCGAGTGTGGATTTTATTTGACTGGAGAAGCTTTTCTGCCAATTGCTTGGCCACTCCAGTCTCTGTACAGTGCAGATTAACTTGTTTATGGCTGTTTGCTACAGTGATGTTAATGTATGTGACAGTCGCAAAGTTCTCCCCATCTGTAGCTATAATTTGTAGACTGTGAAAAGATTGTTTTCCACCAGGTCCATCAGTGAAAGGCTGGCTCAGCACAAGAACACCAGAGTTGGGGTTTAATTCAAACAGATCCAAATCATTCCCTGATAATATCTGGTATCTTACTAACTGTAGCTCATCTGCATCAATAGCAGATACTGTAGTAATCTGCTCACCAACACCTAGATCCCTTGGAAGAGTTCCTACACAGTTCACCTTCTCAAACAATGGCTTGTTGTCATTTAGGTTGTTTAGGACAATAGTCACAAAAGCTTCAACTTCGCGCCGATAAGGTGAGCCCCAATCTGATGCTCGAACCCGCAAATTATAAACCCGTGGCATTAGTTCGTAATCCAGCTCCTCCGAGGTACTGATGACCCCAGTGAAATAGTCAATGACAAAAGGTGGTGGAACCAAGTTGGCAATGCTGTACGACACATATCCATTCTCACCGTTATCCATATCCGTGGCGCTCACACTCAGAACAGTGGTACCAACTGGCACATTCTCATTGATGCTGCCCTGGTATGAGGACTGTGTGAATTCAGGAGCATTATCATTCATATCTATCACATCAACAATCACTTTTGTCGCTGCTTGTCCATCAGTAGTTACCACTTCAAAGTTATAGCTGGATGCTTCCTCTGCCTTTACGAAACCAGTGGTAGTGATGAGGCCAGTGTTACGGTTGATACGAAACTTATCAGGCTGATGACTGAAAGTATACTTGACATGCGGATACATTGGAACAGCTGTAATCTTCACAACTGGAGAATTAGGGGGTGCAAACTCACTCAATCTGGCTTTGTATACAGGTTTCTCAAATTTAGATGGTGAGGATTTTGACCGTGGAGAAGTAACATGAATAACTTTCACAGACGAAAACTGAGGAGGGCTCCCCTTGTCCTTTGCTTGAAGTGTAAGATTATATCCAGAAGACTGGCTCTCCCAGTCAACCTGGTCACCGGCTTTAATTCGGTACTCTTTACTGCCAGGGCTTGACCTCACTGCTTTGAACTGATGCAGGGGATCACCCGCCACGATATTTAGAGAGGCTATTTCTCCATTGGCTCCCTTGTCGTTATCTTCCACTGTTACGATGGCATATGTTGGATCCTTGTCCGTGTCTGAAGGGGTAACAGTAACAGCCGTGATGACTGGTGTATTTTCATTACCTTGCTCCACGTGAACAGAAAGCTTTGCCATGCTACTGATTCCACTGCTGCCATACAGTTTCTTACCACGATCAGCTGCAAGGATTTCCATATCATAATACCTGGTCTCAGTGTAGTCCAGTCTCCCTGTGAGCATAATAATGCCACTGGTGGGGTGAATGGCAAACACATCGGTCCTGTCTTTAAAGCTGTAATAGAACTCACCATTTGTGCCTATGTCAGCATCAGTGGCTCTGACTCTGGCTACACTGGTCCTCAAAGGTGTATTTTCTGGCAGAGACACACTGTACGAGGTCGGTGAAAATAAGGGTCTCAAGTCATTTGTATCTAGAATGTACACTTTAACCTTCGTCCGTGTTTCGGTGTTAGATTTTTTCTCAACTGCCTTAACCGTCAGTAGATAGTGGTCTTTCACCTCTCTGTTTAAGATCGCTGTATTCCCTCCCTTGGTCCTGATACGTAAGAATGAGAAATCCCCGAGAATGTACTCCTCAGCTTTAAACAAGTTTTCAGTATCTCCAGAAACAATTTTATAGCGAAACTCCCATGAGGGGTTAATAATGTAAATGCCCATTTTTTGGTGACTTTCTAAATAAGTCTTGGCTGCAGAATTCTCATATATATAAGCAGTATAATGGTGCTGTGTGAACCGTACAGATGAAGCCTGCTCCTTCTTTCGATTTCCTTCACAGCTGTTTAATAACTGCAAGAGCAGCACAGGAATCAGCAGTACACTGGACCTCACCATGGTGATACTCGACTAATCACCAACTGACCTGCAAAAATAACAAACAAAAATTAAACTTCCATTGGAACAATATCAGGATTATAAACTGGCATTTATTTAGTGTATGAGCAAACATAAAACCCAGCATATTTCAATGAATACATGTACTTTTATGCCTGGTGCCTGTATAAAACTACTTAACATATTCTAGGCAATAATTAGTGTCCTAGTTAACAATCCCCGAGATAAAACTGGTCAATCATTCATAGATGTTTTGGGTCACTGTACACAAATTGCTGCATTTGTGTAGAAATGCAGCCACTACACTTGACATCAATTACCCGTGAAGTGCTTTTGGAGTTTTCACCATTATAAGTGCTGTATCAAATGCAAAGATTATTTATTATTAACAAGCTTGAAAAAAACAACAACTTGCATTTATATAGCACCCTTCAGGCAGGATAGCATCTCGGGAGTGCTTAAAATGCAGTCAGTCATAAATTTTTTGTCTTTCTTCCTTTGGATTATCTAGCCATTGGATGCTTCTATTGGTGCTTTCAATACTAAACCTTCATTGAGCAACCAGAAATCAGTGGGGCAATCACAATGTAGTACCCTACACCCCAATTTAGATGCCCTTCACTTCTCCCAAATAAATTCCAAGCATAAATACCAATCATATGTAAATTTGATGCAGGTTCTATAATTTTATTTTCCTTTTCATCCCCAATTTCCACACCTACTCTTCTGAAGATGCTAATTCCTGCTGAATTTATCCACCAGGTATCTCACCTAAGTGCCATTCTTTAAGTATGACCTTACACAGCATGTGCCTGTAGGCTATTGATCAAACTCCTCCCTGTCCTCACCTGACATCCTGACCCCCTGCACATATACACTTTACAATAGGATTACTGGATGGCAATTATGAACAGGATTTCTCTCCTCCTTAGGTCAGGTGCACTCGGTTCAGTTGTAGTGTCTCTCTCTTCTGCCACAACAGCTTATAGTGTGTTTCTCTTCTGTCACGCGAGCTATGACCAGCTAACTTGTTAAAGATCCAAGATCAAATTTGGGGTCTTTACTCCAAATTAAGGCTCAAGCACCAAAGGACTATCAAAGGAACGCTCAAATCGACATATATCTAACAAATTACTCTAAAAACCAGGTACAGTGCTCCTACAAAAGGTGTAACATTGTTTTGCGCTTGATGATGTGCTTCCCATTATAATATTCTTTTAAGCACAATTTTGATCTAAACAGAGCATGGAAACGTGTTAAGGTACAAGAGCCATATTGACAAAATCAGGTTCTTTACATTTCTACATAATGAGTGGTCGAGCTTGACTTCTGTGAATACCTTTCTAGTGATACTGGCAAGGTGCTGTGACTGCAACAAATATTGCATTACATTACATGGAAGGTGTTGAATTATTGTGTATTTAACAACCCCAAAATAACTAGGGATTCAAATGTTGAAAACCCACTCCAAGATACCATCTGAATCTCGCAATTGGATTTCTGCCTCACAATCTTCTGCCAATCATTCAGTAACCTCTATGTCATAGTATATTTATTCCAGGCATTGGTTTTGCTTACATTGGCTGCAACGGGAGTCCTGTAGCTCAGTGGTTAGAGCACTCGCTTTGCAAGCGAGAGACCTGAGTTCAATTCCAGGCAGGGCGAAACCTTGGGTAAGTTTCCTTACTCCACACAGAGCCTAATAATAATCCCTCCAAAACCAAAAACAATAATAAATTGGTCATTTTCAATCTGCGACTGTTTGTGGGGCATTGCTGTGCGCAATTGGCTGCCGTGTTCGCTCACAAATATACAGTCAATTCACTTTACAGTGTGTTCTGTGAAGCACTTAGGGACGTCCTCCCAACGTGAAAAGCGCTATATCAAATGCAAGGATTATTATTATTATTATTATAGTTAACTCAACTGCATGGCAGCACCACACATAGTATTTTTGTGTGTATAAAACTGGTTATGCTTGAAGCTAATTTATTCCAGCAGACATTTTACTGAATTTCAAGAGTGGTCACTGGCATCCAAAACTCACATTTTTCAGACACTATCGTGGAATCAATTTCTATTTTCCCACATTCTTAAAATAACCTGAATAGAAAACTTTGCAGTTTTCAACCCAAAAGTTTTACAAACTATCAAAGGGCAATAAACTCTGGATCTTTCTTTGACTCGCCCAGGCATGTCCCAGTGAGCACTAAACTTATCTCCAATGTACTCAGCAATTTCCCCAACTGTTATTCTTTGGAATCTCTTTATCACAAAAACATGCACCGTCCACCCCCCACCCCCCAAAAAGGCAATGGCAACCATATTACATATTTATTGCTCAGCAAAATGCCTGCTAAAGAACTCAAACAAAAGAAGTCCTTGTTATTGTCCAGCGAGAGAACCTGGGGTTATCGAGTTTACAATTATGAATTAGCAGCGTCCTTTCCATGAAGCCAACATTCCATGTCCAACCTTAATACTGATGGATAAACTGGGATTGGCACACTCTGCCACCACTCTTGCAATCTGTTCCTTTGTACAGAGTTATGTTTCTGCCAAGGTTCAACTTAATCAGTGTAGTGCCTGACTACCAGTGATGAACTACCATTCAGAAGCACATATGCCATGCTGTCAATTTTGTGTCTTCTTTTCCATTATTGATCATTTTATACGTCATAATCCTTTTCACTGCTTTTTTAGACTAAGTGATAATTTTCTAAAAATGAATGACTGTTATCAGTTATGTCTTTTGTAAATTTACATTATAGCCTTACTGCTTTTACATTAATTCTGAACAGTTCAAAACGTTCACCACAAAATAACACTGCTACCAATTTGTACACAGAATTAAAACATAATTTTCTGCAGCAGATATAATATATCATTATTATCTTTTAAAAACTGTAATATAGTTCCTGGATTTTTACAGCAAATTTACTTTACAATAAATCCTGTGAAATGCTATCTGACAATATAATAAAATGCTACGTCAAATTTAAGGATTATTATTATTAACAATACTAAATCCAGAAAGCAAAATCTGGTGTTACACAAGGTTTAGCGCATTACATTACCCCTCTCCTCATTAGTTAACCCACTAGACCTGAATAGCCTTGTAACAAAGCTGCTGATTCCCAAACAGGGTCCTGACAATAATCATCCAGTGCAGGATCAAAATAGTCCACTGTATTAATCAGATCAAAATAATTGCTGAGATTTCACAATTATGGCAAACTAAATAAAAACCCACCAACCAAAATCAATGTTAATGATGCTGAAATGTTACCATTAGGAATACAAGCAGTCCCTAACCTTTTGCTTCATTGCCAGGTAGTAAAAGAGCATCGTAAATCTGAATTAAACATGCAAATATTTCAAAAAAAATGGAATAATCTGACAGAAAACACGTCATGTACTTCAGGGATTTCAATACAAAGTTGTCGTAAAAAATGACTCAACATCTACTGCAGAATTAATTCTGAAGTTGCAGTTTTTTTCCTATAATCTTACGTACTTGTTAAATTTCAATTCAGTGGAGATTACATTTTTTTTAATAAAAAAATATAAAATCAACCAGTCGCATGTCTGATTTCCAAGAAGTGTCACCACAAACCTGAAGCAATGTTATGAAAAAAAATTCCTAAAAAAATGCAACTGAATTAACCTTTGCTTGTGCATGCCCTTCATCCCCTTCACAATAAAAATAAAACGCAAAAGAAACCCTTTGTGAATTACCAGCAAATATAGTTTGTCAAAACCCCCAACATTACGAGTTAAACACGTTAACAAAATGGAAACAGGGTTAAGTTGGACACTAAATCGTCGTCACGATCATCTGATTTTTTTTTGGCAACACTGAGTGAGTTATTTGGAGTTTGTCAGGTGGAGGGTACAGATTTATAAGTGAGGGATCAGAACAAATGACACACACACACACATACACACACACACACACACACACACACAGGAGCTACTCACTGCAATGAAGAAAGCATTTCAACTCAGAACCATTTTAAATAGGATTCAGAGCTGTCCAGGCAGCTGCTGACGTCTGGATCACAGAAGAGGGAATGATTTTTGCGCAACCGTTTACTTTCAGGCTGGAGGTTGAAGAGGGGGAGGGAGGGAAGGAGGGAAGGAGGGGGGGGTGGAAAAATCAATCGTCAAACCCACAAGCCATAAACAGCAAGATCTGTCTTTCATCATGTGCGTCTTCGCCTTCCTACCCGGTCAAAACTTAAGTGGTTGGGGGGTGGGTGGGGGGGGGGAGAGCACCATAAAAATATCTTTTTCAGAAGCGATGTGGGATGGGTTGTTCTGTGCATGTGTAACGTGCCACGCTAACATTTTATCTGAACCAGGAGCCGGGTTTAACATTAAAGGTTTTATGTTCAGGGCAGAACCTTCCCCCCCAGACTGTCCTCCTCTCTCAGTGCTGCTGCTGCACTGTAACACATGTCCATACACACACTCACTCACTCTCACACACACACACACTCACACACACACACTCACTCACACACTACAGACTCACTCACACACACTCACTCACACACACGCTCACTCACACATACACACTCACTCACTCTCACACTCACTCACACTCACTCACTCTCACACACACTCACTCACACACACACTCACTCACACACACTCACTCACTCGCTCACTCACACATACACACTCACTCACTCTCACACTCACTCACTCTCACACACACTCACTCACACACACACTCACTCACACACACGCTCACTCACACATACACACTCACTCACACATACACACTCACTCACACATACACACTCACTCACTCACTCTCACACTCACTCACTCTCACACACTCACGCACTCACACTCACTCTCACACACTCACTCACTCTCATACACACACTCACTCACACACAGCCAGATTAATTGAGGATTCTCCAAATCACATACAACATACACTCGGAATAACACACGTTATCCTCAGAATTACGATCTCCTTTCCTCCCCCCACCCCCCCCCCCCCCACCCCCCAAACGAACTGATAGGGATCAGAGAACTTTTAACATATAACCTAAGATCTCCTTCTGTGGAGGTCCACAGGTCCCTTGTCCTGACTTCCCAAAAGACTCCTGTAACTGAGCCCTCGATACCAACAGAGTTCGAGCTCCTCTGCCAAACTGTGTGGTGTATCTGCACACACTTTCTTTGCAATTCGCTGATGAAGTGCAGAGGGCTGGTCTTTTTTTTGTAAAACAAAACCCAAATCTGCCTTTGGAATAAAATACCGAATGATGTGGACATATCAAGGCAAATGGGTGGGTGGTGGGGTGGGGAGAGGGTGGGTGGTGGGGGCTGGGTGGTGGTGTGGGTGGTGGTGGGGTGGGTGGTGGTGTGGGGAGGGGGTGGGTGGTGGTGGGGTGGGTGGTGGTGTGGGGAGGGGGTGGGTGGTGGTGGGGTGGGTGGTGGTGTGGGGAGGGGGTGGGTGGTGGTGGGGTGGGTGGTGGTGTGGGGGGTGGGATGGGGAGAGGGTGGGTGGTGGTGGGGTGGGTGGTGGTGTGGGGAGGGGGTGGGTGGTGGTGGGTGGTGGTGTGGGGGGTGGGATGGGGAGAGGGTGGGTGGTGGTGTGGGGAGGGGGGGGGGGGGTGGTGGGGGGGAGCAATTCCCTTTCTTCAGCCGCCACCAGTAAAAGTAAAGCAGATGTTCCAGATTTGCTTTTCGGATCATGATTCCTCCTCAAACTCGCTGTTTCCCATTCCTTTCACGTAGACTATATCCTTCCCTCCCCCCCCCCCCTCCCTCCCTCCCCCTCTCCCTCCCTCCCCCTCTCCCTCCCTCTCTCTTCCCTGATATGGTTCAAATGAAAACGCCTGAAATGGAATGGAATGAACTCTCAGCAAAACTATTCCCAAAGTAACTCTGTCTGTATGGAGCGCTGAGCAAAAAAACACCACCACAACCCACACACACAGACCGTGTGTGGGGGGAAAGTTGGGAAAACTCACGGTTGTGTCGAGTGTAGCCTTTGGCAGACGGTGTGTGGTGTTGGGAGGCTACAAAGTAAGGCAAACCCCAAACTCCCCCCACACACCAACACACCAACACACCAACCTCCCACACAATGAAACACTCTCAAAGAGGGAGGGGGGAGGAGGGGGAGAGGGGAGGGGGAGAGGGGAGGGGGAGAGGGGAGGAAGGGGGGGAGAGGGGGGGAGAGGGGAGGGGGGACGAGAGGGGAGGGGGGAGGAAGGGGGGGAGATGGGAGGGGGGAGAGGGGAGGAGGGGGAGAGGGGAGGAGGGGGGGAGAGGGAGGAGGGGGGAGAGGGGAGGGGGGGGGAGAGGGGAGTGGGGGGAGAGGGGAGAGGGGAGAGGGAGGAGGGGGGGAGAGGGGAGGGGGGGGAGAGGGAGGAGGGGGAGAGGGGAGGGGGGAGAGGGGGGGAGAGGGGAGGGGGAGGGAGAGGGGAGGAGGGGGGAGAGGGGAGGGGGGGAGAGGGGGGGAGAGGGGAGGAGGGGAGGGGGGGGAGAGGGGAGAGGGGAGGGGGGGAGAGGGGAGTGGGGGGGAGAGGGGAGAGGGGAGAGGGGAGGGGGAGGGGAGGGGAGGGGGGGGGCAGAAAAAGTTTCCCAAACTCGCCTGAACAGTTAAGAAAGTGCTTCCCAAACCTGGAGCGGCGTTAGGTTGGCGTCGGGCGCGGTGTGAGGAGAGGGGTTGTTGCAGCAGCTCGCACCATGTTGAGGTGGTCTCTCCCCTCTCTCTCTCTCTGTGTGTGTGTCTCTCCCTCTCTCTCCCCTGTCCCCCCCCACCACCACCCCCTGAGTCCTCGCCGCTTCACCGCACCTCAGCGCGCACCACATGCGCCGTGCCCGGCACTACCTTTCCTTGGCATGCAACAGCGCAGCGTGGCTGTGGGGCTGAGCTGGGGCGGCCTCAGCACTCAGCTCCCTCCCTCCTCCTCCTCCTCCTCCACCACCTTATGCCATTGTACACACACACACACACACGCTTTGCTGCCTTCGTTGTAACTGCACTTTACTGGATCGGAGCTGGTGGTCGGGGGGGGGGGGGGGGGTAGGGGGGAGGATTGCAGAGAAACCAACCCACCAATGTCTCCATCCCACTTGCTTCTCGCCCCTGAGGTTTGATGCCGAAGGTCCAAAACCTCCTCCTCCCCGTCCAAAAAGGCTTTTGTTCAAAACTTTTCTCTCTCTCTCTCTCTCTCTCTCTCTTTCTCTCTCTCGGTTTCAGGGGAACTGATTTTTAAGGGAAAGTTAACTGACGCTCAAAGCCTTGTGCACACTGCAGCGACACATGTGTTGCGTGTGTGTGTGCGTGTGTTGTATGTGTGTGTGTGTGGGTTGGGGGGGGGGGGGTGTTGGAGGGGGGGGGTTTGCCCGTTTAAAAAAAAGAAAGAAACCAAACAGATCACAATCTGTCGGGGAGTTTTAACCCGTAGTCGCGCACTCCGAAGTAACTTAAAACCATAAACTTTCTCTCTATTTTTCCCGCAAGACGTGTTTCTGCCTCCGCTGCTGACCTGCAAAGGATTCCTCTGGCAATGCTTTCCACGGTCTCCCCCCCCCCCCCCCCGGCGACACCGGGAGTACTGCGGGGCACCGTGTGGTCGGTGCAGTGAAGCACCACCTGAATGCGAGTGCAAACGCATCTTCCCGGATTGGGGGGGAAAAAAAAACTTTGGGACGAAAACTTAAATGACATCCGAGTGCGCTGCCTCATTGCAAACTGCCTTTGCGTATCCCGACAAACTGATGTGCAAACGGACGAAAACGATCTCACAACGTGTTATGGATTAACACACACCTTTTTTTTTTCCTCCCAAACAGTTCATTTCGATCTCCAAAGCGACGTGAAGTGAACCACACATTGCAATGGATTTAGATCGATAGGGACCACAGCGAAAGGAAAGCTCGTGCAGAGTGCTGACATGGTGTAGTGCTACACCCACACACGTCAGTCCCCACGATTGATAAATTTACAGACGGATTTGATACCTGTGCATTATTTGGTGGGGGGGGGGACATGGCTCTCATCGCTTCAAAATAAAGTGGGAACAATCCAATTGGGGCTCCAACATTAATTATATCATTATTTTCTATTACGCAAAATAACGAAGCACAACCGGTCGTGTTGTAGTATATATATATATACACACACACACATCTCTCTTAAAAATACAAATGCAATCTTGCTGTCAAAAACATATTAGACCCTTCACTGCGCCTTCCAGCGCGAGTCGGCAAAATTACTGAGTTGCATCCTCTCCGAAATGTCCCGTCTCATTCGCGACACATACCAACAGACGTCCGTACTTTCATTGCTCCCCACAGCGATGAAATGCAAACACAAAGAAATGCATTGAGCGACTGTACAGTATATGCAAAGGAGCTCGATCCCCATCGGGGAGCAGCAGCGCACGGTTGATGGAAACAACCCCCTCCCCACTCCTCCACAGCAGTACTCACTGAAAGCTTTCCCAACAGCTATTTAGCTCCCAAGTTGCAACGAGTGCTCCCTGGGGAACCTTGCACTTCTCCACCGCTGCGTTTGCTTTAGCTTTAGCTTTGGCTTTGGCTTTGGCGTACGTGAAAAGTGGGCGAGACAACAGTTTTGATTTACTCTGACTGCAGTCCTGCAAACGGACCGACGAGAGAGTGCATTTCTCGCCAGTTCTCCCCTTTTCCTTTTTCTCTCTCCCACCACCGAAAAATAAACCATTCGATCGTGAAACCGAACCCGACTTTGAAATGACCAATTCTCGCAATGGATGGCACGGGGTGGGGTGGGGGGTGGGGGGGGTTTGGGGGGTGTGGGGGGGTTTAAGTGCATTAAATGAAAAGGCGTTGCAAAAGGATTGTTAGGAACGCAGTCGTTTAAATCAGATTAGAAAATCAAAGGATATTCTGATGGAGGTTATTGCATTTCCCCCTTTGAACGGCGCAGAACAAGTCAAAAATGAAACACCACTTACAGTGAATAAAGTCGGGGAGTTGCAATGCAACTCTGAGGACGAAATGGAATGGGATCTGCTTTAAAATCCTCAAGAACGATAGATGTGGGTATCGGAGCAAAGTAACACAAGAGTCGGAACAAAAACGTGACGGGTCTCAACCATTGCAACATTGGTGACATCCTGTTTGGGGACAAAAGGTCAAGTTGGTCATTTTATTTTATGACCCAGTCACAGATAAGGACAATTTCAGGTGAAGTTTGAGTCAGATCTGTGGTCACACCTCATCTCGCTTTCCTGCAAAGGTTGTGAATGCAGAATTAGCTGAACGCTAAGATTTAATGACATGAATCTAAAAAAAAATCTGCAATAACCCAAATTCCACTTGCCATCACACAGGAACCCACCCAAAAAAAAACAAACCCTGTCTGCAAACTCAAAACAACAAATGTGATATTCAAACTGTGGATCGCCCTGACTGTTAAGCAATAAGTTTTAATCGAGTTACTTTCTTGGGTGCACCACGTTAAATAGTCGCCAAAGCACTTTTGATGGGCACTTTTGTGTGCAAAGAAAAAGGTGCTCTTTTTTTTCTTCTTAAACCCTTATTCTGCGCCTTTCGCTTCGACGCCTGGGGTCGCTATTTTCCGACATTGCCACAGACATACCCACCCCCCCCCCCCATGTCAGCCGGACTCGCATTGCAAAGCGCAACGCTGCTGAGCGGCGGAGAGTGTTTGCCACTGGAGTGAAGCGCATCGTTTCAGTAAAAATAAAATGCAATATCACGGGATGCCTTTTTTTTTCCGGGGCATCTGCAAGTGCACGTTCCTTTTTTTTTATATATATATATTCCAAGCCACGGGATTCCCGATCCATGCCCCCGAGGGGGTGAAAACGCAGTGACAAGTCCGGCGTTTCTCTTCCTGAATTCTTGGCATTCACTTTTTTTTTGCAAAACGGTGCTTTAACAGACGCGATTTCTCACAGCATTAGCAATCACCGCAGTCGTGTTACACTCCACAACATTGCACGATTGTGTTAAGAAATGCAAACTCACACAACAACCCCCCGTAATATATATATATATATATATATATAAAATATATATAGAGAGAAAAAGCTTGACGTTGAATCTGGTCAGTCAAAAAGCATTGCACTCCATCTTATTCCACTGCAAAGTCTTACCAGATCAGATGGATTCCACGATTCCCTGGCAGATGGATAACCTGGGGATCACCAGGCTTACAGCAAATGTCTTATCCCCACTTTCGATTTCACTCCAGCACAGAATGGGATGGAAGGGAAATTTCCTCGAAATCATTACATTTCCAGTGGGTCGATCCAAGTTTGCAGAAGATGTGGATACAGGTGAAACACTGAAGGATAAGCGTTCCCCAAACTCCAGCTGACATCCACTTCCTACACGGGATGCCTGTGGTCTTTACACTCTGACGTCAGGATCCTCAGTGCTTCTTCCTGCACTGAAAGTTGCTCGAGTTTTAATCGTTTCCCAAACTTATCCATGGGAAGAGGAGGAGGGGCAATATTGCGGAAATTCCCAGTGCTGTGTGTAACCCTTCTTGCAACTGGATCTATTTTTTTGTTTTCCCCGAAATGCATTTGACTTCACCTTCAAATGCGCACTCACCACACTTTACAGCCAATCGTACAGTGCTCTTTAATAATAATAATATTCCTTGCATTTGATGAAGCGCCTTATCAAGTCTTTGAGACGTCTCAAAGTGCTTCATAGAATATACTGTAAAGTGAATTAACTGTATATTTTGTGGGTGAAATGCGGCAGCCAATTGGATACAGCAGTGTTCACAAACAGTGGTGATTGAGTAATCACATTTTAAATTTTTTTTTAGGGATTATTAACCCGAGAAAAGCAATCTGCCAATCGACTAGCAACCGTGTTCCTACTTACTGCTAGGTAAACAGAGACGTGTGGAGTAAGGAAACTTGCCTAATGTTTTGCCCTGCCCAGGAATCTAACCAATATGCTACAGGACTCCACAGTATAGTGCCGTATCACGTCGTTGAGCTCCAAAGAGCATCATCGGATATACTGTAAAGAGGATTTCTGTGTATTTTGTGGGTAAAACATTTGAGAAGGTGAAAAGGTACTATATCATACGCAGAGATTTTTATTAATATTTAATTGTTTCTTTTATTCCAGGTGATACTCACAACATACTTTCCGTTGATTTGCTTATACATAAGTACTTAATAAGATAATAATGTTAAATGCCATTTTTATTGCCAGAAACAATAACAAATTCCATTTATATAACGCCTTTCACATCGAGAGGATGTCCATGGGCACTGAAACAAGTATCTAATTTTCATGATTTTTGTGCTTTGGACGTATAATTCCTAAATTTGCATCATATTCTGCTTGTTACTACATTAGGTACCGGGATAACTAATGTAGTGTTGCGTTATACACTAGCTTTTCTAAAGATAAAGACATTTTGGGGGATGGCTAAATAGGTAATGTGACCAATTAATGGGTAAATCAGACATAAAGGTCAGTAATGCCCCAAGTATTGGATTGGTTGATCTGAGCAGAATATCAGCAGGAATGCATCAATTTGCCTTGTCACTCCAGGGAGGGGCTAAATTGTTGCTTTAAACTCTATCCACAAAGCTCCAGTAGAGAGTGTGTTATGAAAGGGGAGAGGCTCAGTGAGAACTGAATTGGTCTCATATGTAATGCCTTCCATATAACTTGCTGACACTCACTATCCAGGCTTCCAGATAAATAACTCCTTATATACTATATCAAAGGTTACACAGTGTCCATTGAATGATCATCC